TTTTTTTTTGTAATTTTAATCTCTCTGAACAGGAAGCCGGTTGATTAACATTTTCAACTGTCCTTTTAGTTCTTTTTATCTACTGACCTTTTTATTCAGTATTTGCGGTTTTGCGACTGATTTGCAAGCCTAAAAACTGTGAGTGGAATAATTGAGGCTTTTTCATTCTTCAGTTGTTGCTGTCATGATTTACTTTAACTTTAGTTCTTTGGCTTTATGTGTTATTTCTTTCATTTACTGAGTTTTTTTAGTTATTGCTGGAGAAGTCTCTGGTCTTTTTTTGCGGATACAGTTTAAAATTTGTTAGTTTTAATTACTAAAATGAGCTTAATGAAGCTTTACTCTCATTACTTTTGTGACTGGTTGGGGCTCATGGCGTTCCTTTTGGTAATGGGTTGAATTTGAGGTTCTTTTTTTTTAGATTTTTTGAAACTATTCACTAGATGTATTTTAGGAGGGTGGGTGGTTCGGGGAAGAATGCATTAAAAAAATTTTTAGATTCATCAGAGGTACTCACAGCCTCTAGAGATTTCCAAATAAAAGAGCCTAACATTCTTTTATTATTTTGCTTGCTTTGATGCTCTCGTTTGAATCGTATGATATGATAAAAGATAGTATCCTTCAGTAACTGAAGCAGACGAAGAAATCTGTGAATTATTAATCAGTTACTTTTACTTCCAGTTCTTGGTATGGCATGCGATTTGGATAGTGAGAAATGGGCTTGTTCGCAATGTACATATCTTAATTATCGGAAAGCAACAGTGTGCACTATGTGCCGAAGTCCGCGGCACTCCCCCTTTATCACAGAACCTCCAAATACTTCAAGTGCCTCTTGTACAACTGCCTGGACAAGTTCTTCAAAAAGATGGCCATGCCCTGACTGCACTTATGTGAATTTTCTCAAATCTCGACACTGTACAGTATGTTCATGTAAACGTCCTGGTGTTTACAGTTTAGAAGCTGGCAGGCAGTCTCCGAGTAGAAGTATTTTTTCATCTCTGTTATTCTTCCTTTACCAGTTTATACATATCCTTCAATGCATCCCGAAATTTTTCTAGCAGATATTGTTAACGACTTAAAGGAAACGGTGAAGTTGTCTAAAGCCCTTCATAAATGGGATTGCTCCAAATGCACGTACAATAACTGGCCCGCTGTGAAATGCTGTACTATGTGTGGAAATCCACGCGAGTCTTTTTCTCGTAGCACCAGCACTGAAGAAATCCGTAATTTTTGTGTCTGTTTATGACTGATCTAGAAGCTATAAATTTTAGCAAAAATGGCAGTGTTTTGGAGATGAGAATGTATGATGATTTTGTTTTTACAATTTTTTTAGCCCGCTTGTTTTGTGGGAACTTGTGCTTTTTTTAAATAATATTAGGAAGTTAGTTATTTCTAGATTGGTTTTCAGCTTCTTCACTCCAAGAACGTGGGAAAGGTTTTTTGAAGAGTCATGAAGAAGGTTAGGTTAATTGATTTTTTGCTTTCAAATGATATTTGCCCAAAACTAGTTTGGGATGAATGCTTTTGCTAATTGCGAAGCTTCTTTGTCTTAATAGAGTAATTTGAAGCTTGGGATCTGAGATGCTATAGGTTCAATTTATTTTCAGCTTCGACTACTCAGGTAAAGAGTACGGTGTACAGGCAGAATTCTCAGAAATCATCCACTGCAAAAAATGAGAGTAGCAATTCATATTATGATGAGAAAATAAGTGCGCTGGAGCGTCATTTCTACCATTTGAGAAAAACGGTTCTTTTCTTTTTCTGCATATGATGCATTTATAGGCTGTTTATCAAAGCTTTTGTTTTGTCATCTTGCTTACATTTTTTAAGGCGCTGGGAAGTGTTTCAGGTTGATACTGGTTGTGCGTCGTTTTTAGAAGCCATCCTTGAATTGATTTGTCCGGGTAGTGATAGTGATGAGAAATTACTTTATTATATCTACAATTATGGTGAAGCAAATAGAAAAATCACGGTTTTTGAGGTATTTTTCTAAATCAGTTCTTCTTTTTCACTCTGGGTCTTTTATGCATGGGTTTTTTCAAGTGGATTTGTTTGAGTTTATTAATTATATATGATCATGCCAATTTTAGTTATTGATTTGTAAGGTTCCTTTCCTACCTTTTTATAATTTGAAGTGTCATCAAGTCAAACTTGGGGCTGTGTTAAATTTTACTGTTGGGAATAGTGTGGAAAGGATGCTGATGGCAAAAAATTATTTTAGAACATTCTGTTAAATGGATTTGAAGAGGATGATCATACTCTCTATGATCTAACTATTGTTGATCTTTTAAGAACAAGGTTTCGTTCGAAGCTCGCAAATGTTCCACGTTTTTTTATTGATTCAGCTTTGTATTCTTTTGCGCTTCCTGGATTGCGTATGTTTTTGTGCTTTTCTTTTGTTTATCTGAGTTCTTATTTCTCAAGGTGGAAGAGCATATTTTGGCTAGTCTTGCCGTTCAAAATGGACTTTGATTTTTTTCATCACGATAAATTTTACAGTTTTCTAAGTTTCCATTGATATTTTTGTGTATGGTAAAAATTGTTTTACTGTTTATCCTGAAAAAAAAAAAAGATAATGTCAAATATTCTGGCAGTTAATTCTACTGCGTTGTAGAAGAAGAGAGATCTGAAGATGTTGATGTTGTCTACGATGTTTATGACACGGGTCGTGTGGCTAATAATGGTTCTATTTTTACACTGCCTAATGGTAATTGCCATTTTTAGCTTTTACATCTTTTCCAATTTCATTCTGAAATTTGTCGTGACTTTCAGCAATATGTGACTTGAGGCCTTGGATTGCATCTGGAGACCACAACTTACGTGTTCTTATGGATTTCGATGATCGGCGTATGTTATATTTTACTGATAACTATTCTTCCTGTGTTTTTACTGTTCATCCAGTATCGTTCTGCTTTTCATAGATTATTTCGATTCATTTGTATAATTTACTGGGTGTATCTTTGTTGAATTCGTTTTACATTTTAGAAGTATTAAGTACAATTGGTTGTCTGGATACCCCGTCTCTAGCAAATACTGCTGGGTGTCATGTCTATGCGCCACTTGTTCTTCGAAATAGAGGCCGTGGTCATAGCTTGGTTGATGCAGTTTCTCAAGTATCTTCTGAGCAGAAATTTTTCTAGCTTCATATATGATTTATTTCTAATGGGTCTATCATTGACAATTTATGTGCATCTTCAGGGTCTTTGGGGTGTGGTTGACAAGGCAAATATATTGCGCGATGCAATTTTTCAAATGCTTTGCACTAAGGAGTCTCTGTTAGTTTCATGCGCAAGCATATTCTCTATTATATAACTATATATTTTTTAATGACTGATGTTTTAAGATTTCGTAGTCGTTGGGCTGCTTCCCTGATGAAGACGGGTATGAAATTTGATTTGTATACTATGCACCGCTACTGGACAACAATTATGGAATGCCAGGACCCTGATGCTCCCCTTGAACAGGTACTAAGCCTCAGAGAGGCGAGAAGTGTGACATTCTACCATAATTCCTTATTTTTCCATAGTATTTTGGATCTACATTGTTTTATCCTGTATGTGAAAAGAATTGTTAGTATAAATTTAGATCCATATTCTGGTCCTTGCTCAAGTTTTAAATCGCCCAATTATCGTACTGCCCATTGAAGCTTCAAGGTTAAGTTCAGTGCGTGAAGGGAGCCGCAAAAGCGTAAAGCATTACTTGGAAGGGTTTTATCCGCAGCTGCCTGGTTTAAGCAATTATCGTTTGTGTGCTCCTATTTTACTTGGTTATTCTAATGGGAATTTTCATGCCTTAGTCCTCCCTCCACCTATGAGGAGCCCTGCTCTTGGTAAAGTTGCATTTCTAAAGTTCAGTCCACGTTCGGCTTTTTAATTCCAGATCGTGATTTTTCGTGGTTTTTTAGGCCGAATTGAAATCGCTAGATGCTCCAAAGTATTCCGCTACATTCGCTGTCCACCATTTCCTTTGACTCATTTTGTTCAGTTTGCGTTCAACGATGCTGAAGCTGAAGAGTTTATCCGGGATGGGCTAGTTGTTGACGTCGACCCAAGTGGACAGCAGTGGATCTACCATTCAACTTTTGGTTTTCCGTTGCCTAAGCCGGATCGTGGGACTCGTTTATGGAGTATAGTTTTGATTTAGCAACTGTTCTATAGCGAGGATTCCTTTTGTAACTCTTTCTGTTTCGAGATCCTCAGAGTGGTATACTGAAAGTGGTTTTTCAGGTGAGTGGCTACTTACACACTTCCCCACCGGTTTAGATGAAGATGAGGATGATGATTGTAACGTAAGTTGGTTTTATTGAATGTTATGCAGCTGTTTAACATAGCCATCACGGATTAGGTGTTCCTTTGCTATTCAGAATGTTACTTTATTTTTTCCTACACTTTTATACTCTTTCTCAGGATGATCCAGAAGTCGAGCCTGGGTCATGTGGTGTTGGAGGAACTCGGAGCGACTACGATACAGATATTTGAAATACACAGCGCTTTTTACTTGACGCACTTCTTCACTCGTACTGTTTCAAATTGCTTTTTCTATATACTTTGTCTAATGCAGAATACTAAGTTATTTTAGAGAATTGATTATGTTCTGTAATATTGCCGATGTTGTGATACGTAGTTTTTGTGTTTCGATTGTTCCGGTTGATTATCTCTTAGTCTTATGCCTTCATCTGAGTGGGGGATTTTTGAGTGTTTCTAATATTTCTGAATAGTTCAAGTAACTTGGCTAGTTCCTGGAAAGACTGACCTTACTGACTGCTTCAAGCGAATTCTCATCTGATCCATCCCAAGCTTGAAAAGGAAATTTGCGAAAACAAAGTCCTGCGATTGGTATTTTTCAAAATATTGTGGGTGGGAAATTTGAGCTTTAATGTCAGTTTTTCCGTAGTCTGACACTACAAATTATATTTGGAGACGGTTGATTAAGAAGGTCTCTGTACTGTTCTTCTGGTAGCTCGGTGAGGTTACTCACGGATAGTTTTGACAGACATTTTCTGCAGATCAGGTCCTGTGACTGTCCACTCAGCGTTAGTTATTCGTGCTTTTTGGTTTTTTGTACAAATGTATACATCTAAATCCTGTGACTTTAGGTATTGCGTGCTTGTTATTTTTAGAAAATATTTTAAGTGTTTATACAAAAGAAGAAATACGAGGAGTCACTTTGCTTTGTGGGCTGCTCACAACAATTCGCGACTGCACTGTTGATCCCCTGACGGGGATCTTCCCGGTAGCTCGCTGCCGCTTTTGCATGCTTGGTGAAACGTTTTCTTAGACATCAGCTTCCGAGCTGGATGGACTGTATTTTGAACTTAATAGGCATTGCAGTTTACGTTGGCCAGTGCTGTTATAACGTTTTTGTCAAGAGTGTAAGCGGTATCTCTGCAGTCACAGTTAGGATTCCAGTGATTTTTTTTTTTCTTCGGCATGAGCCTGTTTATTACTAACAAATCTAGTAAGTTCTACAGAGATCAGATTACGGAATATAAGAATAAAGATCATTACATGGTTAATGTAGGACTGTTAGTTGGGCCACCTAAGTCTTCGCTTAACTAGAAAAGAACGGCAGTTCCAGTGGTTGCTTGTTCTCAAAACTTTTAATAGACAGTTACGAAACTTGAGTAGCCGGAAACAGTATGTACTTCTCAGTGCAAAAGTAGGTTTGCAATTAACAGCGCTGAATGAAGCTTGGGAAACATACAGCAGTTGCAGGAAATGAGAGACACCGATGAGCAAAGGTTAAAAGGCCGTGAAGTGCCATTTCTTATTTGGCCCGACTGGTCGCAGGCGAAGGGTCATTGCTAGAAAGTCACTAATGCTTCTCCAGCAGGAAGTCCTGTCTAAAAAGCTGGTATTTTCCATTTCTTCGGGTTTACGGGCGCACAGTATGCGATCGGCTGACGGTAACCTGTGGTTTTGCCGCCATCTCTTTTGAAATCG